ATAGTAAGCTCACCTCCCTCTCCCACATTCATGAGAAAGTTTACCCAGATTCGGTTCCTAGTGAAAGGGGAAATATTGACTCTTTGTGTGTTATTAGATTGAGAATCGTATAAACAGATACTAACTGATAATAAAGTTAATAGCATTCAAAAAAGAGATAGTAGGACTCACTAGGACTAGGACTAGGACTCCCATGTCTCATATTCCCTTTCATGTTTTAACTTTTGTGAAATGTAAAGAAGATACATATTTTTGTATTGATTTTTCCAAAAATGCACTTAACGAATAGATTAAAGCGCAGAATGCAATGAATAGATATAAAAAAATCACTCTTAATTGAAGTAAACATATAGAAAGTACCAAAATGGGATTTACATATTTTTTTTTTCTAAATAGGAATTTGCACTGTGGTAATGTGGCACTGTATATGTACATATTACTATACTTTTTGGTAAAATGTAAAGATATTTTAATTCTTAATTCGGAAATAAAACATGAAATATCTATTTTGATATATTTTTAATATTTTACCCCTACTTTAGTCTTTTTTCTCATAGACATAATAGATAATATCATTATTAGTAAATATAAAAGTAATTTTTTAATAAAAAATATTCCCTTCGCCCCTAATTTGATTACAAATTGGAAGTAATCATTTTGTTACAAATTAGTACATCAATAAGAAATAAAAATTATATATTAAAAAACTACATCAAAAGTTTTACAAAATTAGTGGCTACAACTCTTTTATTTTATAGAATACTCAATGAAATATATAAATATATATACCCTCTCCGTCCAAAAATTTCTTTCCCAGTTTGACTAGACAGTAGACACAGAGATTAAGAAATGTTAAAAAGTGTAGAGACTTTCCATGTATTGTTCTTAATGTGATGAAATAAAGTAAATAATGTAGAGAAAAAGCAAGGGTATAATAACACATTCATTATAAATGAGAAAGAAATTTTTAGACTGCTTCAGAGTGAAAGTAAGAAAGAAATTAAGAGACGGAAGAAATAAAAGTTATAGAGAATGAGAGAACAAAATAGAACAAGAAAATAATTCAAAAAAATAAGAATAAATTCCAAATACAATCCTTTATAAGTGAGGGATTCAAGTAATTCAACTACTAAAAATTATGCCTACGGTCCTAATTAATTTGGTACTCTTTCAGCCTTCCGTTACTCTTCCGTGTTACATACTCCGTATATTCTTTAAATTAAGGGCTATTCTTGTAATTTGACATGAGTCACTCCTCTTCCCTCAATAGTCAATTACTCCCCATGTCCACCATACATCTTCCCAATAGCCCTTTTTCTATGTCCACAATAGATCTTCTCATTTCATTTTTTAACAAGTAAAATACCACAACTAGTCCCACTTACTTTATTTATTACACCTCACCCACCTCATTTAATACACTCCACCCATTTTTATTAAGAGTTATTCTTGTAATTCCGTGTTACATATATTCTTTGATTTGACATGAGTCACTCCTCTTCCCTCAATAGTCAATTACGGAGTATCTTCAACCCGCCATAAACTTTGAATAACTATGGGGTTGGTTCATCGACGATTCTTCAACATGTTTGGGAGGTGCAAACTCAACCCATCTAATTGTTTTCAACGGTTGCGAGGTTTATCGGCGGCAGCATAAGTGCATCGGGGAGACGAGGGTCTTCGGCGCCGGAAGAGTTCTGTCTTGTGAAAAGGTTCCCGACCTGTTGAAGAAAATTGTCTACTGAGGGAAGAGGAGAGACTCATGTCAAATTACAAGAATATGCCTTAATTTAACGGATGGAACACGGAAGAAACTAAGATCATGTTTTCTAGGGCTTAAACTCTTAGCTTCTATTTTTAAATAAAAAAGAAAGTCAAAATAGTGTAAAGAAAAAGACTAAAATATGAGTAAAACTTAAAAAAGTGTACAAAAATAAAAGTTTTATGTATTTATTCAAAAAATACGAGTTACAATGAAAAAATGTCAATCATGAAAAAAATAAGTTTGATTACACTATGTGAAATGTCTTATATTTAAAATAAAATCTTGTAATATATAAAATATAATTACAAATATATTATTTTATAATAAGTACAACATAAATAAATTGATATGCAGTGTAACCACAATAACTTTTTAAAATTTAACATTTTGATATTTACGCTAACTTTATATTATAAGTATTATTTTTTGTAAAAGTAATTATTTTGTGTATATAAAAATAACAATATTTTTTTTATCTTAAAGACATTATTAAGATAACGTCATGATAGTGATGATGATAATAATAATAATAATAATTTATAACAATCAATATCAATACTATTCTTAAAAGCAGGAGAATTATTTTTTCCCCCAATGCACCGTAATCCTACACCGTCGATATCAATGTACGAAAAATATCTACGGCTATGATTGGTTGTGTAATATTACCAATTTAGAAGGATATATTAAAGGAAACTTTTGACTAATTCAATGTTACAAATTGAATGCATTGTAATATGGCTGAAAAGGAAGAAACGTAACTAATATGTTGACCAATTAAATTGATTATCTATATCTATACTATATTTAAAAAGAGGTGAATTTTTTCCCGCCAATATGTAAGAATAATATAAGGAAATGTTATGCAATTTACTCATTATATATATATGTGGATGCATAAAATTTAGTAAGCATTAATTAATACTCCATAATTAATGGTAAATGGAATGTGTTAAGGGTAACTGTAAATAAGCATTAAAAATGATGAATTTCATAGAAGTATTAACTAATGCGTAGTAATTAATTAATAATTAATGGTAATGTAGAATTTCATATGAGCATTAAAAATGTTTTCATTTTTATTTAAACATATCAGTATGTTTTTTTAATAACAATGCAACAGTAAGGTGGAAAGGGAAATATGTTTCGATTTTTATTTAAATGCTATGCCAATTAATGGTAAGTGATAAGTGGGAATATGTTTCTATTTTTATTAAAAAAAATTATGTTTTTGTATGAGCATTAAACATTTTTTATTTTTATTTAAATACATTAATATGTTTTATTTTTAATAACACCAAAAAAAAGTACTTCGAAAACTTGAATATGTTTCTATTTTTATTTAAATGCTACGCCAGTTAATGGTAAGTGTTGCTATGGTAATTTTGGATTCTATTAATTAATAATTATATGGTAAAGGGAAATATGTTTCTATTTTTATTAAATAATTATTGTTTTCGTAGGAGCATTAAAAAAGTTTCCATATTTATTTAAAACTTATTACCATTTTTTAAGTTTAAAATTTCCATTTATTTAAATCTTTATTTAAAATAGTTATTAACAATTTTGTCCAAGTTTAAAATTAAAACTTAATACCATTTTGATCTAAGTGTAAAAATAATAACGTACACTTGGATTATTTAAATCTTTATTTAAAATAGTTATTAATTTTTTTTTCCAAGTTTAAAATTAAAACTTATTACCATTTTGATCTAAGTGTAAACATAATAACATACAGTTGGATTTTTTATTTTATTCCACGGGTAATGAAATATACTTGGAATAAAATTTCTAAAACATTAACTATTTTTTATAATATGAAAATAAATGAATAAAACAACAAATATGGAAGTTCTTTATAAAAATTCACTTTTATCGTTAAATGAAAAAATAATTACCTGAATAAAAGTCTCTTTATAATGTATTTAAATGGAATCATAAATTATGAATATGATGTATATATGAATAATTCTACTTTGAGAATCACGAATGTTTTATTTTTATTTTTTAATATTTAGGAGAAATTGCCTACATTGTACATTGTGGAAAGATAATGTTTATTTGGTGATTTCAATAAAGTGGTATCACCGCCTCAAATTCCAGTTATGCAAATGGTGAAACCCAGCATTAAAAAAATTGGACACAAACATTTATTGTTTAACGAGTGTTTTTTTATATTTTAGAACGAAGCTTGGTTACATAAATATTTAAAGGTCTAACGATTGTAAGATAATTGTTTATTTTACTCAATGAAAAAAATACTGTTTTCATTGTTAATAAAAAAAGAGTAAAATTCCAACAAAAAAAGACATAAAACAGAGACACTACAAGTATTGCTCTCTGTAAAAATGAATCACGGCAAGAAATTTTAGTTTCTTTTTATAAATGCTCCTTTGTTTTTATGGAGTATATACATCTCCACTTTATTAGCAATTTGACAAAATCAAAAAAAATAACACAATTAACTCTGAACATATTTTTTAACCAAAGTTTTAATTAATGTTATTTATATTTTAGTCATAGACAAATGTATGTTGTAGTTTCAAGAGTAATAAACCATAATAACTTGAAGATTCTAATATGCAACAAAGACACTATTTTCACAAATTTATACGAGTAATGTGAATTATAAAGTAGTCTTTCAAATATTGTGGGGTGCAATTGAAGGGGGTGGGGGGGTGTGTTCGGGTCGGGGCCGGGGCGGGGGGTTTACCGGGGGGGTTAGGGGGGTAGAAACCGTCAATTTTACGAACGGAGCACCGGAGCGGCCCCGGGTCATCCTATGACATTAAGGTTCAATGTCATTTGAACCTTACCCACTTAAAAAAATGAAATCTCTATATTCCATCATATACTAATTTTTAACATTCAAAAATGATGTTAATATGATTTAGTAACTTAAATATGACTCGTGCAACGCACGGGTGTGATACTAGTATGAATTAGAACGAGAGTAATATAAAAATAAACTAAAATAATTTTTTCAAATTTTTTTTATATTTTTCAATTTTTTGAAGTTTTTCAATTTTTTCAAGGTCTTTTAGTTTTTCCGGTACTTTTCTTTTCTTTTCAGTTCCTTATCGTTTTTTTTCATTTCTTTTTAATTTCTACAAATATGGGGCTCTTTTTTTTTCCCGGTCGAGATTTACTTAAAAAAGAATAACCTAAAAAGCAATGGTTACATTTAACCTCTCGGATTTTGCGCTTCAAAGCAAAAAAAACGTATGGAGATGATCTCAGATGGAGCTGGACATCGATCCTCGCGGGTTGTCCGTTGCCCGCTTCGCCTTTTCTGCGTACGTTTTCTGCTTTCCTCCGTTTTCTCAGGCTTTTTCCGCCCTTATAAGCAAGGGATGGTGGCTACTTCCCCACTCACTTCCTCTGCTCTTCTGTTTTACCCTTTCAAGGTCCCTTTCTTCTTCTTCTTCTTCTTCTTCTTCTTCTTCTTCTTGTGAAGGTTAGATTTGTTGATTTTTTTTCTTGGTTTGAATTTCCAGTTCAATTGTTTGCACATGCATGGTGGGATTGTGTGGGTGTAGGCCTTTTGAACTTTAATCTGATTATTGGCTTCACAATTGGATAGTTTCTGGTCTGGTCATTTGGTTTTTCTAAGGTACATTGGATGGAGGTTGTCATTTCACACTGAAATTCTTCAAATACTGTTTTTAAGAAATTTTACAATGGAAGAATCAATCTTGCTCAAAAACAGTGGGTTTTTTAAATAACCCAGAGAAGAAATTCACACCCACCCAAGAGAGATCAGTAGTGAACTTATCTAAGTAGAAGATTTTATTTAGGTCCATATTAAAATTTTATTTAGTTTTGTTCATTTGTTACTTATAAGTAAGGGGAGGTGGATTCTTCACGCTTTAACGCCTCTTTACCCCTCCTGAATATCCTGCTTAATTTCTTCTCGATCCTCTGCTTTCTTCTGTTTTCTCAGACTTTTTCGGCCCTTATAAGTAAGGGAAGGTGGCAACTTCCTCACTCTCTTCTTCTGCCCATTCAAGGTCCATTTCTTATTTTTCTTCTTCTGATTACATTTGTTGATTTTTTTCTTTGTTTGAATTTCCACTTTAATTGATTGCAAATGCATGGTGGGGTTATGTGTGTGTAGGGTTTTTGAACTTTAATTTGATTATTGACTTTACAATTGAACAGTTTTGCTCTGGTCATTCAATTTTTTATGATACATTGGACGAGGGTGTCATTTCATTCTCAAATCCTTAAAGCTCTTTGTAAGGACTTTTTTACAATAGAAGATTTTGTCTTGCTCAGAAAACAACCATCTCATTTTTTTTACAGAAAAAAATGTCACACACACCCAAGAGTCCACACTTATTAATAGTGAACTTATCCAAAATTAATATGTGTTTTTGGGGGAAAGTGTTCTAAGGCCTTCCTATGCCTTAAGAAGTAAAAAGACTATACTAAAATACGTGAAAACCACACACACCATTTTCATAATTATGATGTGCAAATATGCTCTACCACTTTCCATATAAATCTAAAATTGAAAGTCTAACAACATGATTTGAAAGCTAAATTTGGAATTAGAAATTATCCCTTTAAAATCTAATGACAAAAAGGTCCCGATCATGATACTTGATGAGGGACTAATCTTGTCCAATTTTGAGTTTAAGATCAAAAGAGGAAAATATCCCATTAGTGTTATATTTATTTGGTAAGGGAAATTTAGAGATAATAGGATATTTCATTTAATGTTTCATCATTTGCAACTGACTTATATGTAGTAATAAATAAGTGCTAGTCAACATATGTGTTTTTGACGATTAATATGGAATTCACTTATTACTCCTTGATTTGACAAGTAGAAGCTAAGTGTCAAAGTATTAACTCTTTAACATGGACAAGTAGAAGCTAAGTGTTTTTGTTTTATTTTATGCATTTCTTTTCATGGACTCTTAACGCTTTAACGCCTCTTTACTCCCTGAGTATCCTGCTTAATTTCTTCTCAATCCTTTGCTTTCATCCGTTTTCTCAGGCTTTTTCGGCCCTTATAAAGTTATCAGTAAGGGAAGGTGGCAACTTCCCCACTCACTTCTTCTGCTCCTCTGTGTAACCTTTAAAGGTCCATTTCTTCTTCTAATTAGATTTGTTGATTTTTTTACTTTGTTGAATTTCCAATTGAATTGATTGCACATGCACGGTAGGTTTATGGTATAATGGATGGGGGTGTCATTTCATTCCCAAATCTTGAAGTTCTCTTTCTAAGGATTTTTTTACAATGGAAGCTTTACTCTTGCTCAAAAAAACAACCATCTCATTTTTTTACAGAAAAAAAGTCACACACACTCAAGCATCCACAGTTATTCATAGTGAACTCATCCAAAATTATGCTATTGATAAAATTGGTGTTACTTTTTGTTGATTTCAAGTGGTAACCAGTTAGTAAATACGTCCTATCATTTTCCATATAAATCTAAAACTGAAAATCTAACAACATGATCTGAAAGCTAAAGTTGGGAACTGGAAATTATCCTTTTAAAATCTAACGACAAAAATGTCCTGATCATGATACGTGATGAGGGACTAATCTTTTCCAATTTTGAGTTGATGATCAAAACAAGAAAATATCCCATTAATGTTATATTTATTTGGTAAGGGAAATTTAGAGGTAAAAGGATATTTCATTTAATGTTTCATCATTTGCAACTGACTTGTAATAACTAAGTGCTAGTTAACAATTTACATATATGCTTCTTCACGCTTTAACGCTTTTTCACCCCTCAATGTCCTGCTTAAGTCCTTCCCAATCCTCTTTGCTTTCTTCTGTTTTCTTGGGCTTTTTTTGGCCCTTATAAGGGAAGGTGGCAATTTCTCCACTCACTTCTTCTGCTCCCTTGCTTAACCCCTTCAAGGTCCATTACCTCTTCTTCTTTTTCAAATTATATTTTTTGCTGTTTTTTTTTCTTTGTTTGAATTTCCAATTGAATTGATTGCACATGCATGAAGGCATTTTGTGTGTAGTATTTTTTAACTTTAATTTGATTATTGACTTTGCAATTGGACATTTTTGGTCTGGTCATTTGATTTTTTTTAAGGTACTTTGGATTTGGGTTGAAAAGGAACTTATCTTGTCCAATTTTGAGTTGACAAGGGACTTATCTTTTCCAATTTTGAGTTGAAGGTCAAAACAGGAAAAAATCCCATTAAGGTTTTGGAAAGTGAAATTTATAGGTAATAGGATATTTCATTTAATATTTCATCATTTGCAACTGACTTATAAGAACTAAGTGCAAGTTAACATATGTCCTTTTGTTCATTATTATGGAAATTAACTTATGACAACCAATTTTAATAGGTAGAAGCTAAGTGTCAAAGAACCAACTCAATCAAAAACTCAAGTTTACTTATGTGAGTTTGTAAAACTCAAGTGCTAGTTAACAAATGTGCTTTTTTGTTTTTATTTTATGCATTTCGTTTTATTTCATGGAATTCATGGCATCTTCACACTTTAACGCTTCTTCACCCCTCAATATCCTGCTCAATTTCTTCTCAGTCTTTTGCTTTCCTCCATTTTATCAGGCTTTTTCGCCCCTTATAAGTAAGGGAAGGTGGCTACTTCAATTCCTCTGCTCCTCCGTTTTACCCTTTCAAGGTCCATTTCTTCGTCTTCTTCTTCTTCTTCTGATTAGATTCTTGTTTTCCAGTTTAATTGGTTGCACATGCATGGCGGGATTATGCGTATTTAGTATTTTTGAACTTTAGTTTGATTATTGGCTTCACAATTGGACAGTTTTTGGTACATTGGATGGTGTATCATTTCTTACTGAAATCTTTGAAATACCGTTTGTAAGGATTTCTTTTTACTATAAAAGATTTAAGGGGGTCTTGCTCAAAAAACAGCTTGCTCTTTTTTTATTATACAGAAAAAAGAAATTCACACACACACCCAAGAGTGCAGGGTGATCAATGGTGTATTTTTTTTATTGAAAGGATCAATAGTGAACTTATCTGAACTTATGCAATGATTAAAAATGGTGATATTTTTTGTTTATTTTAAGTGGTTACCAGTTAGTACAACATTTTATACATGTCCATATGAAA